TAGACTATCCGCAACTAGAAAAGAAATTTGTGCAACTTTCTTGTACATCAAAAAGAAACAAGATAAATGGTTTTTACCTTTCCAGGTCTCCATTTTGTTCTCAATGACACGCAAAAAAATTATATTGTAATCATTACATATGCTCGCAGGTCAAAGTATTGATGTAACCTTAACAACAATTATTGTAGATGTAATTACTGTTCCCTCCATGGGAACGAGCAAATTAGTTTACGGTTCTATTCAAAGAAACTTTAGGAATTTGAGCAGCAGTTGGTCACCACCTGAGAGCTGTAAAGAGACAAAGGGGTCATTCGGAAGAACGTCGCGAAAAGATTCATTCTTCTAATTTCTGCGGCTTAAAATTCTGAAGAACCAATTTCTAATAGGGACTCCTTTTATGCCTGGGTTGGTCAGGCTATCAGGTATTTTTCTCGGGTTCAGTCGGTGTTCCGTCCGCGAAACTCATATATGTAAATTCATCGCGGACGTTGAAATGTCAAACAAATTCCTAGAAAGGGTCTTACTGCCTGCTTGGGCCCATCGGGCCATTTACCAATTTAACAATTTTCTGACGTCGAAATCGGTTCGTAAATCTTAGTTTTCTCCGAGACGACATTATTGCCCTGTACGTCCCATCGCGGAAGTTTAGGGTTCTTTAGAATTTTCTCGGGTTGACCGTCCCTATTCTTTACCGTCTACCTTTTTTAACTTTACCGCTTACACGTGCGCGCAACATGCACACGTGTATACAGCATGTTTTTCCATCTGCACAGCAACTTGAAATTTTCCGTTTTCACCTAACCGTATTGGACAGCCACCGACCAATCACGAGGCTGACTATTCAATTTCAACCGCCCTTGTTAAAATCAGTCAGCCAATCGCTATGCTAGAAATATGCTACGACCTCCTCAAAAAATGTAATGCGACCGGAGGAGGAATTCTGTATTTTTTCTGTAAGTTAGTCAGTCTCCGTCTCTCGATAATTTAACACGTCTCTCGTCAGCCTTCACCATCAGCTCTGTAACAGTTATCCTTATTCACGCGTGAAGAGCTGACAAAATTCTAAGTCAGTCGTCAAATTTAATATTATAATAAATTTAAGCTGTTTTGTTCGCGACAGTCTCACTCTTCATTCGGGTACCTTCCTTCTGCATGTGAGCAGTTGTATGAATATCTCATTTTGCAATTCCACTTGCAAAAACCAACGGGATTCATACAACAACTGCCCGACAAACTAGCCGGGCAGAACAGTCGGGAACCCGTCATAAACCCTAATCTCCTACAGCGGACTAATTTGTTTTGCCCGGACGTCCTTCGTAGATTTTGAATTTGGGTTCTTTGGGATCAGTCTTTACAATTTTTTCCGGGTCGACCGTACTTCCAATGTTCACACGTGCAGACAACATGAGTTTTTCTCTCTCCATGGCAACTAGGATTTTCCAACATTGACAGACTATAACAATTATCGGCCAATCCGAAGGCCACTCGTCAAGTTTGTACCGCCCACTCAAATTCCTAAGAGCCAATCACTCGTTAAGAAATTTGTTACTCTCTCCTCAAAATTGTATTGCACCGGAGGAGAACTTCGCCTTTTTTTCGTACAGGGCAGTCACTGTCAACCATCCACCCGGAACGCACCGCGAACTCATTACAGATTTACGCAAGTTGTTGTACACGTTTAAATAAAATTATTATTATTTAAAAATTACCCGAGCGCCGAACTTGTGTGCTCGAAACAATTATAATCCCACCAAAAACACCTTTGGTGTAAAAAAAAAAAACAAGTTCATTGCCTGATGTCATTTCACCTTCTGGAATCACTACTCGTACGACGATTGCACCTTAAAAGAAGAGTCATATAATATAAACCTAACCTAACCTAAACCGTTACGTCTAACCTCACCTTGTAATTTATGCCGCGACATATATCTCATGCAGCAGAGTAAAAATTTAACGACATATATTCTAGTATATATGGCATAAATGTAAGAGATTAATCATTGTAATCATACGTTCCGAATAGGACGTAAGTAAATCATTGCCTAGAACTTTGGTTTCGAGTTTACTTACCATGTAAAGCTAAAAATAACCCCAGAACAGCAGATATTTATATAACGTACTTGTAAAGTAATAAGCAGCGATAAATTAAGCAGCACAGGAGAAATATTAGGTTTTCGGTTCCTTCTCTCTTAAGGCCCATACGGTTGGGGTAGTTTTGGGCAGAAAGGGGTTATCTTTCGAATCTGGTTCGTGGGTATCCCCAGAGCACGTAAATAGCACCAAAATAATGCGAAAAGAGAACGTGCAAAATTTTGATATTTCTACCTCTTCTGTTTTGGATCCTATACGATCCGGAGTAGTTCTGGGATGAAAGGGGCGATGTCTCGGACCTGGCTCTTGAATATCTCTAGAGCACTAAAATAGCACCAAAATAATTCGAGAAGAGAACATGCAAAATGTTATTATTTCTACCTCTTCTCTCTTGGAGCTTGTACGATCGGGAGTAGTTTTGGAGTGAAAGGGGTGATGTTTCGGACCTGGCTCTTAAGTATCTCTAGGGCACTAAAATAGCACCAAAATAATTCGAGAAGAAAACATGCAAAATGTTACTACTTCTACCTCTTCTCTCTTGGCGCTTGTACGATCGGGGGTAGTTTTGGGGTGAAAGGGGTGATGTTTCGGATCTGGCTCTTGAGTATCTCTAGAGCACTAAAATAGTACCAAAATAATTCGAGAAGAGAACATCCAAAATGTTATTATTTCTACCTCTTCTCTCCTAGCGCTTGTACGATCGGGGGTAGTTTTGGGGTGAAAGGGGTGATGTTTCGGATCTGGCCCTTGGATATTTCTAGAGCACTAAAAAAGCACCAAAATACTGCATACTCGTTTTATCCGTGAATCTTTCCCTTATCGTAGAATGCACTGTGGGGGTGCTGAGTGAACGTTCACTCAGCACCCCCACAGATTTTCGGTATAAGGGGTGGACCACTAAAATCGAGGTTGGAGCACTAAAATAGCACTAAAAAAGCACTAAATTCTCCAATAGGTTTCATTCCATATTTCCGATGTGGGGGTGCCTACTGTACATACATCATTTTACAAGGGGTTGAAATACCGGACATATATTCAGTCGTCGATTTAGAAATGGAACGGCTAAATCGAAGGCAGGCACGGCTCCACAAGAAGTTTCCAGCCCGACAAGAGGGAATTACGGGGAGGGTTCGCCTTTCGCGAAAACGGAATTTAATTTAACTGTAGTTCACACTTCGCGAAAAGAAGAAATTCAATAAAGGTCACCCTTCGCGATAAGAAGGTATTTGAAAATTCGCACGTCACGAAAAATGAAATGAAATTAACTGAAACACATTAAACAGGGTTCGCACTTCGCGAAAACGGGAATTAATGTGTCGACCGCTGAAGACAGCATCCTTGAGTTCAGGTCGACACGGCTTTTTGATCCGACCGAGAAGAGAGGCAGCAATGAGATATTTTGGTATAAAGGGGGACCGCGCACGCGAGACTTTGGCCGCGAAAATTACGATTAGGCCGCTCACACGAGACTTTGGCCACAAGAATATAATTATGCCCCTCACACGAGACTAGGCCCACTAACTCGGAAAAATGGCCACTCACACGAGACTAGGCCGAGAGAAACAAAAGAGGCCGATCACGTGGGATCCTGGCCGATTAGATAGCGAAAGGGCCGACCGCGTGACGCGCAGCCCGCCGACAGGTTACCCGGGGAAAAACGCGAAAGAGGGAATCTAAACTTTGGGAAACGAGTTCGGGAGATCGAACGTCGGCGTCCAAATAATAATGTCCGCGACGGAAGGATAGCGTAGGACTTCTATGCGAAAAATGTGACTGTATTTTTCGTGACTCGGACCTGTTGGCGATGAGGATCGGGCGAGTGACGAGCACGGAATGAACTC